TTTAAAAGTGAAAATAGAAAATGATTTCATTTGACTGGACACTCTAACTATCTCAGGGCCATTTTTAACCCCTCTTACCACTGGACAAACTGACATAAGTGGAAATTATGATGGGTTAAGTAACTGATCCTGACAACTTTATCATGGGGACAAGAAGGAATATGGATAAGACCTAGAGGACACAACCATGTTCAGAAATAGAATTAGCCAAAGATATTGTCATTCCACACAGGTGGAGCACCAAGCCTCAAGTTCTTCAGAGGTGAAGGATCACCCTCCAGGAAAAAACAATGCAACAGGCTGAGGTATTCTCTTAAAAGGTTGGTTTGGGAGAAAAACTAACAAATTGCATATTTGGGATGTTTTGTAGTCCCAAAAGACAGTGGTTGGAATATAGATGGCACAGCAAGAAGATAGAGGCTCTAGTCCTCTTTGCTGTGAGTCAGAGTTACACAACAGATGGTCGGGATTGTCAGAATGGGGTAGAAAAGGAGATGACCCAAGTCCCTCAGAAAGGAAATCTAGAACTTATGCATGTTAGGTACATTAAAACACTCAAAAATCAAAGCACAAAGGTGTTGGGGAAGAGGAGGGAGACAGTATCTTTTATTATTTTGATGACCAAGTTTCATTAATTGTGATTAACATGCTCCCTGCTAAAGAGTAGTGGGCAATATTTTCACCAGAGTCTGCTGGATGAGAAAACCTCTAGACAAAGATGAGTCCCACTTACAAGGAAATTCCACAATCCTCTTTGTTCTGGGGATTGTAGCAGCTATGTACAGAATTTGTAAAAATGAGGTATTTTCCAGGTGGCTTAGGGGAAGTAGACTATGTGGAGGCAGAAAAGTATGGAAATCATGGTTTATTGATGAAGCTAGCCCAGCCAAGGTCCAAAACAAAATCCAAGGTCCTTTCTGTTCAGATGCCAAAGGACTTGAAGGAGCAGATACCACTGGGCTTATAAGATAGACCTTCTCACCAGCAAAGAGAAGGAGAAAGCATCAGCTCAAAGGTTAATGTGATCCAGAGCAGAAGAGCTTTGCCTCTCTCAGGAGAGAGGTCAGGCTATGTGTGGGCAGTATGAGCTGACTGTATGTTATCTTTGAAAATTTGGCAATAAAGTAGTGGAAGAGGTCTAACTTGTTGCCATGAGAACCTGCAGCATTATCAGACAATGAAAGTTAGGTGTATTGTGCAGTGGAGCACAATTCCCAGGCTTTCCGATGGGAAACTGCATCCAGAGGAGAAGGACTGGATGGGAGACAGGCTTCCTATGGACCCACAAGGCATATGGAATAGAATTCCAGTTGAAAGAGAACATTTGCTTGGAACTTTTAAAGCTTCAACTACTCACATTGATGGAGTCTGTTCTCTTTGAAAGTACAATGTGAGAAATTTTTGACATTTGAAATTTTTATTTCCAGACCTAGCGTTATTAAGGCTTGCAGCTTAGGAAAGGAAACACATGCTTTAAAATGTGATGAAGCATGAGGCCATTCCAGAGAATTCACTGAAGTAACTTAATATGAGTTTAACAAGACTTTAGGGCATAGATAACTTGGATAACCCATCTCCTTCTGAAGGAAAATCTGTAGCATTTCAACCAATTCCTTTAATATTGATCTCTTATACTTTGCCAAAAATAATAAAGTATAACATACTTTAGCTATATCTGATTTGTTTGAGGAAATAAAGAAGATCCAATAAAGAAGATTCTTACGTATTATTTTTCTAGAGACGCAGGACTACCCATAAAAAAAAAATTCAAAACTAATCAGACTAAGAAATAATTAACCCTTCATTTCTAAGCTTGAATTTAAACAACAAAATAGAATGAGCCTGGTGGTTTGCATCACGATTCAGGCGCCATGGTCATCAGCAACAAAAAGCCTATTAGAGCTTCCCAATCCACAAAGCAAATTAGGAAATAAAGCACAACAGACTACAGATAGATATGTATAGCCAGGGCAGCCAGGCCGATGTGGTTCTTACAATATGCACTAAAGGCTTGAGTTTTCTTTCTTTCTTTTCTTTTTTTTCTCATCTCCTCCCCCTCCTCCTCTTCCTCCTCCTCCTCTTCCTCCTTTTTCTTCGTTGTTGTTGTTTGTTTTCAGTGCTAGGGATGGAACCCAGGCCTTCCACATGCTAGGCAAGTGCTTTACCACTAAACTATATCCCCAGCCCTCAAATTTTGGGTTTTCACTAGAAAAAAAAAAATCATGTAGAGAAAGAAAAAAAAAAAACAGAATGAGAACTTCACATTGGGAATGAAATTAATTCTAAGAAAGTCCCATAAAGTAGGTTGGCATTATATGAAACTCTTGACTTTAATTGAAGTGCTCAAACCAAATATTATCCTTTTAGTTCCTTGAGTACAGGCAATTCCATAAATTTAGTCTTTGCTCCTGGATTTATGAAAATTCTCATTTCTTATATTTGCTAAATGAGAAAAATCTTTTCACAAGACACTCTTGGAAATCATAGATAAGAACACATGGTGTCTCTGTCCCCAGTTGAGGTATACATCTAGTCAATCTACCAAGATGTTTCATGTCTTTGTCTGGAATAATAAAATAAGAAATAGAAAAAATATTAATGAAATTGATTTCTAGTGGCTTCTCTCCTTCCAGCCCCCCTAGGGCAATGGGGGAGGGGCTGAAAATCAGACCCGGGCCTCACACATGGTAGGCAAGCACTCTACCACTGAGCTACATTCCCAGACTTATTTATTTTTAAGACAGGGTCTCACTAAGTTGCCCAGGCTGGCCTGGAACTTATGATTCTCCCGCCTCAGCCTCCCTAGTAAGCAAGACTATAGGTATGGAACACCCAGCCCAGTTTCCAGTGGGTTCTCTACTCTCCCATATGTGGTTCATACAAATGTGCTCTGATTCCTGCTGGCTAGCATTAAGTTCCCAAGAGCTTCCTAGAATTTCAATAAATCCACGATAATACAAAACACATATTTCAGAGAAGTGAAAATATTTCTAAGCCTCTGAGTTTGCTCCAAATCACAATGTAAGTTATAAACAACTTACAGATCCCTTTAGTCATGTGTGCCATGTGTGTTTTTAGCATTTAAAGACTTCTATTTTCACAAATTTAGAGTGACTGCACATCATATTACAACATCTAAGTTTAGATTTTAGATGTTTTCAAAACCAGAATGCTTCTAGGAAAGACAAGGCACACTCAAGAATAGCCACCAACAGGTATAAACTCACAAAAGCTATACATGGTTATTCACAACAGACTGAGTATTTGCATTAAAATGCCTCACTTTGTAACCACGCTGTGTATGAACTTGGGACCAAGGATCCATTGAAATCAACTCTTCCTCACAGCTTGAAAAAATGAAGGAATGCACAGTGGCAGCCTGCTAGCCATTGGTAGTGATACCCTGAAAAGGGTCTGGGGTAAATCAGACCACAGGATTTATGGGTGCTGTGACTTGAAGGGCCCACATTGAGCATGTCTGAGGTCATGGGTGTAAATTGATAGCTCCTTCACAATTAGATTTAACTACTTGTTTATATATAACCTTCCTGAGTAAGATTTTATTTTTAACTTTTCAATTCCTTTTGAATCACCTCATTTTCTAACCAGTGACAGTGTAGTGGGTATGGCATGTGGATGAGGAGAGGCAACTGTGTGCAATGAACATAGCCATTGCTTCTTTCTTCCTTCCATGCTGTTCCCAGGATGAGTTTCTTCCCTAACCAAGGTCCCATGGAGAGCCCTGCCCACCAGTAGACTTGCCATTTCCTGACCTCTTTTCCCATCTATGTTCTCCCTGGCCAGGCACCCCCTTCTATCTCAGGTCACTACCTTTCCACAATTGCCACCTATTCCAGAGCAACCATTCCCATAATCTTCACCTTCACTTATAATCTTTTCCAATTCCTATATATATTACAAACTTCTAAAGCTCACAGATTTTTTATATTTGGAAAATTTAGCTGAAAAATAAAGAGTGTATATTGTCAAGGTATACATGGTAATGATTTGATATACCTTCTTTTGAAGATGAATTAGGTAGTTGGTTCATTAAAAGTTTGACTCACAGGACCACCTGCAGAATCCCTATTTGGATTTAGCTTAAAAATTTGAATTCCAAGACATTTGTTACATAATAAAAAGTATCTTCTAGGCTTCAGCCAATTTTTGTGATTTTTTTTTTTAACATTTGTCTTCTTTGTGCTTGTAGCTTCTGAGACCTAGGCATGCATCAGGAATCACCAGGTCTGACTGCTATCGCTACTCATTGCCAATTCTCTTTCTCTTAAAAGTGGACCTTCATGACATTAGGGAGGATGCCATGGTATTTCAAAAGAACTGTCAGCTACCATTGTAGGAGATGCAGCTTTTAAAACTGCTTCTTTTCCATAGCAAATTGGAAGGTTATGCATTTTCTTAGGCACACAGGTATTTCAAAGCTATTGAATAGCCAAGGATAACAGAGCAGCATAGCAAAGGAAACAAATGCAATTCAACTGTTACAGTGCCTTCTACTAAGGTAACTGAGTCTTAGGGCAAAATGGGAGCCCACCTGCTAGAGAGCTGACTTCCCATGGGCTGCCTCTGCATGCAGGGTTGACAGTTCTCAGTTTCACCAAGCTTCGAAGTTGCCCTCTTTGTTTACTACATGTGCTCTGATGTTAGATGAATAGTGGTAGTTGAAACAATGAGATGCATCCAGATCACAAAGAAACTTCATTTTGAATCCTTATGGCCAAGCCCTGCTTCTCCCAGGAATGCATCTTGATTTCTTCCCTGCAGGTAAGCTTCCTCTGAGGAAGTCAATCATTCTTGTCTCACCACCTCCCTCATTCTGCCATCAAATGGACCATTTCTTCTTTATTCCCCTGGCCCAAATATAATCCTTTGACTGCCCGCAGCCCAAACCTATAGCACAGCCGCATCACACATGAAATGTGTCACAGAGACTGGAGACCCACGGGTGGCACAAAGAGATTCAAGACAGAGAGCCGCAGGCAACCAATGAGTCAGGTTTCCCAGGTAAGGAAGCCATCAACCTGGGGATCCCCTGCACAGCTGTCTGCCCCACTTACTGGCACCTCCACAAGACAGAAGCTCTCCCTAAAACACCACAGAGTACACATCCAGGGACATCCAAACCAGGAAGCCACAGCGAGTGACAGTAGGAACTAGAAAATGATTTGAGCTCTTCAGGAAAAAAAAAAAAAAGAAGAAGAAGAGCATCCCAAAGGTAGTGGGAGTGCAGCTACAACTTCAAGAAGGCAAGAAGTGATTCAGATGGATGGAAGGGGCTACGTGAGTTTCTTGCAGCACAGCACTACAATTTAGTGACATAAAGCCACAAAGACTTACTACCTTACAGCTCTGGAAGTCAGGAATGTAAACTGGCTTGGAGGCTGGATTCCTTCTCCGGGGGAGTCCACCAGCTTTGCTTGGCTCTTGGCCCTTTTATACCGTCAGAGCCATAGTAACATCCCTCAAGTCTTTTCCCCTGTCCTCCCCTGTCCTCAGACTCTGCTGCTGAACTAAACACTCCGCTGACTCTTCTGTTTTCCTTTCATTTATAAGCCTTGTGACCGCATTTGTCCCACCCAAATACCAGGAAAATCTCCATCTCAATATCTTTAACTTAATTATATCTGAGCAATCCCTTCTGCCACATCAGATAACATAGTCACAGGTTTTGGGGGTGAAGAATTAGATACCTTTTCTGGTTTTGAGGGGAAGGAGTATTATTCTGCATGCCAGGGGTGTTATCCATGAGGTTTCAGGCATCTGGATTGAATCCATAATTTACCTATTATGAATTATGGTGCTATAACATTGATATGGCTGTGTCGCTCTAGTATGCCAATTTTAGATCTTTGAAGAAAATACCAGACAGTGGGATCGCTGGGTCATATGGTGGTTCCATCCCTAATGTTTTGGGGAATCTCCATACTGCTTTCCAGAGTGGTTGTACTAGTCTGCACTCCTACCAGCAGTGTACAAGGGTATCTTTTCCCCCACAACCTTGCCACCATTTTTTTATTGTTTGTTCTTGTTTGCAATGGTTGTTACAATTGTTTATTTTGCCCCCATTCTGTAAGGTGCTGGGAACCTACAGGAACACTAAAAGTTCACAGCTGAGAGACTCTGCTGCTGAACTAAACACTCCCTGACTGTACTCCAACTCAAGGAAATGAGGAGACAAAAGCCCCAAACCAACAACAAATACCTTTTAGACATTCGGTCAGACCCTATGCTTTGGAAGAACTCCTCCAGACACAAGCACAAACACCAAAACACAAAGATATTTTTCTTTTTAGTCACTTTAGAAAGTTTTTTATTAAGTGTGGTAATTGATCAAATGCATAAAATTAAAGAGGAGGAATGAGCCAAAGGGCCACCCATGGCAGTCTGCACGCAGCTCAGCTCTTAGTAGGGGTGTGCTGGATGGCTCGAGAGGAGAAAAGAGGGACATAGTCAACTGGTTTTCTCAAACTGAGAAAAGCACATGATCTACTCTACATGTCTGGACATTAATTTTCCCCAAGTAGCTGCACACCCTCCCTTCCTTTGTGTGTGCTCCAATGGTATCATTTGGGAAGATGCTTAGGACTACTTGAAAATCCACATTTTTTTAAAGGAGGCATAAGGGAAATTCACCCCTCCCATCTCTCTAGGAGCTTGACTTGGACTGTGGTTTCTATCCTGAGTTCAGATAGTCCCAGTGACCAATAGGCATCCTGGGCCTGAACCAGCTCCACCTCATACAGCAGAGCTGTGCTACAGCTCAGCTCATAAAGTCAGAGCTGGTCCCCAGTGAGCACTCTCCTTTAGCTTCTGGGCCAACAGCTTCTGATCTCTGGTAACAGATTACAGGGATCCTAGGCAGGAAGCAGGACAGACTTTGGTCAGAGTTTGATTTATAGTTTTTAAATATTTAAACATTTGTACCTCCAGTTGTTTTCTTGCCCTGGGTATATGAATGTAATAATTCTTCCTGCTGTATTAAGTTCATCATTAAAGGGATGTTAGTGAACCAGAAGGCAGAATGTAGCCGCCTTCCTCCAAGCTCACAGAGACACAGACCGGGCCATGGACATAAAGAAGAACTGAGCAGGGAGGACACTAAACATCTTCCAAGTAAATTAAGGTACCCTCAGGCTTAGAAATATAAAATATAGTTTTATATAATTTATCTGGTAAAATACAGTTTCTGTGCAAATCAATGTCACGAATTCTATCCTAAGGTAAGAGAAAACAGATTCGGAGCTTCAACCACATCCTCTATGGCAAAGGAAATTGGAACTACATTAACAGAAAGATTGTCCATAAAACTCTTTAAATTCAATCCTCTCTCATGTCACAGTCGTCATCTCAAAAAGGATGTGGTGGCCTGGGTGGTTTCAGTATTTCAGGATGAGTATGTCTGATAAGGCCCTGGGATGGCAGCAGCCAGCCTCCTTAGGGAGTCTCATCTACTGCTGTCTCAAATCCTTGCCAATTTCTATGCCATGAGATCCATCATTAGACAGGAGGCTGACCACCCGTGATTCATTGTCTCAAACAATCATCTCCAGCATTTCTAATATGAGTCCCATTTCAGAAACACGGCTGCACTGATGTAATAAAATGTCTAAAGAATACCCTTAGAAGGGACAGCCAAACAAGAATAGCAAAGCTGATCAGAAAGAACCATGTCAATAGGAAAAGTCCCAAATGCTCAGCTGAGAAAATGAATAAACACATTTGACAAAGGGGCATGGGGAGGGAAACCACGGGGGAGACACCCTAAACAGCCTGCGTGCAGATTGTTCCCATCTGCCTGGCAGCTGCAGGCAGAGGACAGTACAGGCTCTGAGTCCTTCCCCAATCACACTGGAGACCCCGGACACAGCTTTCTCTCCTTCTCTTTCTCCTCTTCTCCTTTGCTCCATATGTCAATCCCTTCTTCTCATTCTTTCTCATTCCCTGCTTTATTCTCAAACCTACCATGTAAATATGTTGACATCTCTGCTATAGTCAAATGTCTAAGTGATGCACATGACATATCGCAGAATAGGAATACATCACAGAAACAAAGAAATAAAGAGAAAGTCAAAGTCCAGAGCTTTTTAAAAAAAAAAAAAAAGTCAATCTCTGCATACAGAAACTGGTTTTAGAACAATCAATGCACAACATTCCACACATCCCCCCTCAAACCCCTCAGGCCCTTCTGAAAGGTCAGGGAGAACACAGGCAAGGTAATATAAAGCTGCTTCCTCTCCTGAACAATGTAATCTTTGTAAATTTAATATTAGATGTTCTGAAGAGCTTGGCAAAACCCTGTGTCTCCCAATTCTCAACTTGAAGAGTGCAATAAAGTTCCTGTGTGCAGCCTCCTTTTTTAATTCAAAGATGTTTCTTTTAAAATGAAAAGGATGGTGTCTGTCATCTAAGCTCCTTTTCAGCAGCAAGTGGACATGGGGACTGCAGGGGGTCAGTGGCTACTAGCCACCTCATTTTCCTTGTGCCTTGACTTTCTCTTCTGAGGTTTCCCTGAGGCTACAAGGCCTTCCCATCCCTGCAAAACTGCTTCATCTACTACCTTGGGCTGTAATGAAAAATTTCAGGTCTTTTCTTAACAATGTGTATTACCCTGTCTAGACCTAAGCTTGAAAATAGAAGCCAATCGTCTGTCTGGCTCCATCCCTACCCCAGAGCCCTTCCGGTTCTGATTCCGGTTCTGGTTCCAGTTCTTGTTCTGGTAGATCTACTGCCTGATGCCTCACTGAGAACAATCTTGGGAAACAGTGGGTAGAGAGGGTGAACAGTTTCATATGCAGAAAAAAACACACAAGCTTCGAAGTAGAACCAGCCTGAATTCAAGTCCTGACTCTACCCCTCTCTAACTTTGGAAATAATCCTTCTGCATCTGGAAATGGGAATAGCAATACCTACTTCAGAGCACAGGTACATGAGAAATATATTAGATAATATATTTATTGACAAAATAATTGAATGGCAAAAGAAAAAGAAAATGTCCAGTGACCTCCTGAAGAGATTTCACTAGTTTTAAAGAAATAATAGATTAAGAAAATAGGGAGTTGGAGTTAGAGACAAAAGTTCACATCAAAAGTATTTGCTGCAAAAACTGAGGTTGTGGCTCAGTGATAGAGTGCTCGCCTAGCACATGTGAGGCCCTGGGTTCGATCCTCGACACCACATAAAAATAAATAAAATAAATTTTATATAAAAATTTATATTAAAAAATTTAAATAAATAAAATTTTTAGTTGTCCAACTATAACTAAAAATTAAGTATTAAAAAAAAACTATTTGCTGCTCTCGTTTCAGAGAAGGGTATCTGCTATGAAGTAGAGACTTTGGGAGGAAAAGGAGAAGGTTTGGTTACACAGACCTGAGTAGCACCTAGCTAGACTGGAACAGGACAGCTGAGTTTAACATTACCTTTCAGAATTCCTTTATCAAAATTAAAATGGATCTTATGGTTGATGTACTTCTATAGAATACAATAGTTTGTTTGTTTGTTTTTTTGTTTTACTCTGCCCAAAAATATTGGCCCAAAATCAATGACATTTTATAATCAAGAAAATACAGTAATTAAGTTTCTGGCTTATAGAGCAGGTGCCTGGTAAGGGACTACTGACCCAGTCTCTATGTCAAGTTCACTGTCAACTTTTGTTCCTTCTATGCAATTCCACAATCATTGATTAGTACCTCTTCTAACCTAGGTGCCGTAAGATTCCCCAAAGTAAGTAAAATACTTCTTTCTCTGAAAGAGGTCACTGGACAGGGGGACGAAGCAGGAACTGAGATGACTGGGAAGTCAAGCTGAATGTGCAAAGTCCCTAAAGAAAGGGAAAAGGGCAACAGTTGTTCTGAGAACTGAGACAAGGTACTAGGTAGAAGGGCTCCATGAGAGGTGGCATTCCAGAGGAACACTGAGGCCAGGCACAATTTTGATAGGCAGATTTGGGAGCCAGGAGGACACACTAACACATCGTGGTCTGAGTTTACCTCCTGCCCTCACACTGGCACCCTCTGACAGACAATAATGGGCAAGGGCTCCTGTGTTTTACTAGATTCTAATGCATCTGCACCTCAGAACCTTCGACTCACTGGTTCTCTTATCATGCACAGATCAGAAGTCAGAATACCATCCACACGTCAAAATACCCAGCACATCCCAGACTGAATGGGATCATTCAGCTCCTCCTATCTGTTCTCTTCTTCCTTCCTCCACCTCTCCCTTCCAACATGTCCCATTCTTTTACTAAACCTGTCCTCTCAAAGAGGGATGGTGCTTAAGAAAATGACAACATAAACTTTGGAGTCAGAAACATTCAAGTTAGAACCCAGATCTGTCACCTACCAGCTATGCAATATTAAACACCATGCTTAGCCTCCTGAGCACCCAGTTCCTCATCCATAAAATGTGTTTTATAATTCTACTTTACAGGGCTGGGGTGCTAAAGGGTCAGGATGAAATACAACAGCACATCTGAGAATACTCAGAACGTGCAGCCTCATACAAGTCACCGTGTTATCAGCACCTTCCCTCCTATCTAGGATGCCTGTCCACCTGCTCCTCATCCATCATTAGCTTTACTCTAACTTGCCCAGGACCCCCAAGAAAATTTACCATGACCAGGAAAAAAATGGGTAGTTTTCTCCATTGGGACTCACTCTAACCAAAGTATTTACTGTCGATTTCAGGATTTTGCAGAATAATTTTACTTCTCTCACTATGAGAACATTTTGTCTTTAAGCAGTTTGCTTAAGCTCTATCTCTGTTTATATTTGTATAATCGCTGGTGTGTTTCTTTTTCCTATTTATTTATTCTCTGAAATGAATCTAGTTTAAGTGACTGTCACATGCTCAGAGAGGGCTGGGATCAGCCCAGTTGGACTTTGTTTGCACAGTGCTTGGGCCAGCGCAATAAAAAGGAAAGCACTCAGTCAATACCACCAACTGTTGGTGACTTATAGGGAATGCTAATTTAATAGTCTCCTAAAGTTTTCATTCTTCATGATAAACTCTATTACTGGCAGATCTTCATGACATGGGTCAGCTCTGTCATCCCCATCATTAAGCCAGGAAACTGAGCCTCAAGAAGTCGTAAGACTCATCCAGAACTGCACAATCTGACCTTGGGAGTTGAAGTTTCTGCTGCTGCCACAAAGAGTAAAGTGAAAGGCAGCACAGAGACACAGAGAAATGCCACAGCTGGTTCTAATTTGGCTCTACATCTTAAAATCTTTATGAACATGGACAAGCAGGTCAACATCTCCACACCTCTGTTTTATAATATTTTAAATAATATATTGATACTTATGCTCAGTAGGGGCATGATTAAGATATAACAAACAAATGCTTCTAGAAGAATTCCTGCCAAATAGTATACTCTCTAGGAGAACAAATATGAGTTTTCTTTCTTGCTTGACCTTGTGAGAAATCTGAAAGATTAAAGTCATGCCTTTTGGGAGGACAGAGGTCAAAATTTAAAAATGGTCTTATATGGAAGGCCCTGGTAGCTCATAACCAGGACAGAAGCTGTATCCTTACAAAAGTATGAAGCTGTAAACCATAGCCAAAATAGTGGTCCTTGTCCCAGGCTTTGACCACTGCTCATAATTTTAGCCTGAAATCACTTTATTTTGTCTCTTCTTTCCCTCGTCAGTATTAGCCATGGAGAGACCCAAGTTGCTTGCAAAAAAACTGTAAGGACAATACTTCTCAATAGGAAAAATCTCCTAGAAATTTGTCCCATGTCTGTGCATCCCACCCCAAATCTTGATGCTGTAAAATTTGTGAGTGTCAGGCCAACAATGTTCAAGTTGGGGAAAGAGCCCACAAATCCATATTTGCCATTCACCTATCACTATAATAAAGACCACCTGATATAGTGAACTCAGGGTCTAAAGGGACAATGCTTACAAGCACAGGACACCAATTGTTCACAGTTTGCATGCCTCAAATCTCTACAGTTTAATTTGCTGGAAACTGCCATCTACAATTTAATTTGACAGGAAACTACAAAATGCAGAGTTACTGTGGCTGTCCCATGCCTGAGACCAGGAGCCATCAGTATGCCACAACCCAGTTCCTTCAGTAGAAGCCTATCATTTCTTACCTTTCTCCACCAGTAACTAATAATGAGAAAAGGAGCCTTCAGAGGTAACCATTATATGAAAAGCATCAAAGCCCAAATCAAATACATCAAGCCCTGTGCCCTCGGTTTATGCTCCAGTGCTGGTTTTCTCTGGCAGAGCTAGGGAAATCAATGAACAAAAAGGAATTTCTCAGGCTCAGG